TGTGAACTCTCATGTGTGTCATCAGATGTCCTGTTTGTTTAAAAGCTTTTTGACATACTGAACACTGATATGGTTTTTCCCCTGTATGAACTCTCCTATGTTTTATAAATGAAGATATATCTAAGAAGTCTTTTAAACACAGTGAACACTGATAGGGTCTCTCTCCTGTATGGATCCGTTCATGAACTGATAGTGTGTGTTTCTGAGTAAAATACTTTTGACACACTGAACACTGATAGGATTTTTCTCCTGTATGGAGTTTTTTGTGAACTGCTAGACAATGTTTTTGTGAAAAACATTTTAGACACTCAGAACACCTGTATGGTTTCTCACCTGTATGAGTTCTCTGATGAACAGTTAAACGATAATTGTTTTTAAATTTTTTTAAACACACTGAACATTGTTGTTTCTTTTCTGGAGGGGCATTCATATTGGCTTGAAAAGTGGAATTACTCCAAACTTTTATACACTGATGATTTTCACTTGTACACTATGAGCTTTTTGTGTACAATATTACTAGAGTGCTCATGATAGTTCATGATATTGCAGAACATATTAATGAGCTTTATGAACAAAAATGTTTAAACACTTATCATTTTCAAACTGGATTTTCTCTCAACTGAAAATACTAGACAAAAAAAATTGGTATTTTTTCTCCTTCAAAAAAAGTCATGGTAGATAAATTCTAATAATGAATACCTATATTAAAAAAAACTTTGGTAGAGCCTTCCGATATGATTTTATTCTACCTGAATTTGAAAGTCACTATAGCAAACTTGCAATAATTTTTAAATAACTGGATCTCAGCTTCTATGTCATGTGAAATCTCACCTGCTCAAATTTGAGTAACTTTTGTTGAACTAATGCTGAACAGCAATATAATTGCAACTATAGTATGTTCTTCTGTTATGTATGTTGTCAATGGGATTCACTTACAATATCAAGCAGTGAAGTTAATTTTACAGTGACTCAAGATAAATCATAAAGAATCAAATTATATTAGACAAAAACTCAAAACAGCATTTGACCATAAATTTAGGTACCTAATTACATGTACCCATATCGACTTTCTGGTGGCAACGTCAATGTATTGTTGATAAAGTTATCTCATCAAAAAGTACTATTAACTTTATGAATATTAATAAACTCAAAAGCTTGTAATAATATTCATTATATATTAGCACTAAAAACTTATTTAAAATAAAACTCCAGAATAATGACTGAAAGGTCAAGAATACTTATGAAGACAATATGATCAACTATATCAAATATATTTGAGTACTGTCAATTTGATAGAGATGTGATTAAGTTTGATGGAAGAAAAAATTAGTTCCTTAAACTGCACTAAGAAAGGTAAGATAGTAATCCAGTCAAATATTATTTTATAGATTGTATTTCACTGTAAATTTTAAATTGAAAGTCTTAAGCTAGAAATTTGACTTCACATACACATTACTAAATATTTATGCAAATTATAAGTATTGTATAACATGCTGATACCATATGTCCAGTGCTTTTGATGAATCGGGTTTTGATGATGTAAACCTGGATGACGAGTGATAATCCTTTATGTATAAAATATGGATATGTGGAGCAAACATTACACTGGTTGTTAAGGAAGCAAGTACAATAATCAGGATGCTAAGTTCAACTTTAAGATGCTAACAGACATAATTAATACTGTTTCTGACACCTTAGTACTTAGACACCACCTCACCTCTATGAAAACTTGACACTGATGTTATTTGTACTTAGTATTTCTTTCAATAGCTTGAGCTTGGAGACACTTGAGAGTTAGCACTATATTGTCCTACCACCAGTGTATGGATGACCTGCAAAAAGAAAAGTTCACAAACAATCAGAACTTGTGAAGCCTTTACTGTTTATTCAGATTAAATTGTGACCTGGGAAGATTCATTTAGCAATGAATACTGAAAACTTCATTACAAGTGCATTAAGAACTAATTTATTTGTAAGTGAAGCATCTTAAAACATAGCTTTAATCAAATACTCCTATAGTTACAGAGCCTTTTCAGAAAATAAATGTTTTATTTACAAAAAAGCAAATGAAGGAGAGAACGTGTTGTAATATAATAGGCATGTCTTTGCATCTGAGCAGATATAAACCAACTTCTTAGTCTAATTCACTGCACAAAATAATAATGCACAGTGATATGATTCTAAATAATTATATAACTACTGTAAATAATTTATATTTTTAATGGCAAGATATCAAAACAGGGTGGTGTAAGGTGCAAAGACTGATAAAATAAGCAAAGTAAAAGTAATGAACATAGGTTTTAGTAAGTTGTATTTGTAGTGGTGACTGCAAGTGTGGCATTGCACTGGGTGAGGTGGTGGGAGTTAGGTAATGCTCAGAGGGAAGATAGAAGGAGAAGAGGAAAAAGAAAGGGAATAAAGGAGCTTAAGAGCTTTCAACATGTCTACACAAAATAAGTAAGTTTGCAGAATGAGGGTGGCAGACAATTGCAATACAGTATTAGATAATATGGTAGTCAACACTCCCAATGTAACTACACAAAAAGAAGCAGTAAGACCAGACTTGATATCACCATGGCTACTGAAGAAGGCTGGGATACTATCTAGAAACCTACCTGCAATACTATACAAACCTGAGCTAAAGTGGTCATGCAGAAGTTTGGACAAGAATGAAGCTATCCAAACCAGAGGTCGAGAATATACCATAGATCTGCCAAGTGCTGCTTGGGAACACTGTCTGAAGAGGTTAACTCTGCAACACCATAGTCCAACCACATGGGAATGACTGAGGTGCTGAGGGAAGGACTTGATCCAACACACCTGAACCTAACAGAGGAGGGGACCATTTTGACCAACTTCTCCAAAGACCTAGAGAGAGACTACCTGGTAAGCCCACAAGCCATGAGACCAGGAACTAGCAAAATGGGCTAGACATCCCCCCTACAGCACTATCAAAGGGGCTAATCATGAAAGTGCCAGTACAAAAACCCACAAGCAGAACCACCCTTCAGCAACACACAATAGTGAGGAGCAGAGGCTGTAACAGCTGAAAGATGTTCAAGAGCCCGAGAATTCAACTGTGCCAAGGGACTAGATTAACTCTATTACATCCATGCAGATGTATTAACCTATACAGTATTTACATCATTTATATACAAAAACAGATGATACCCCAAATCAACATATGAAAACTGCATACCCGAGGTATCAGTGTATGACAATAATTGCAATTAAACCTTTGCACTACAAATAACATCTTGAGAGGTTTCACCTATAATATACATACATCACATCCAGAGGCATCCAGGAAGTGGGTGCACTGTACTGAAAAGGGTTCAACTATGGAAGAATTTTGTACTGATAGGCTTTACCTGTCTCGCTAATCACGTTGGTTGTGAAAGTCCTTTAAAGCAAATGGAATGCAATACAGAGGTCCTTTTCAGGATTCTCTACATCAAATATTTATTTATGCATAGACCTAAAAAGTATGGGACTTGGGGCAAGTGTCTTGTGCAAGTATCTCAACTACATTATTAGCATGGCAATGCTCAAAAGGGATCGATGCAAACCCGAAATGTATGAAAATATAATTTTATTTAAAGAACTTATGTACTAATACAGAGAGCTACTTTACTACAGTAATTGGTGCTCTCAAAAGCTAATACAGGTAATGCATCAGACCCCCCCCCTTAAACGTTTCACCAACCGATTATGCGGCAACACTCGTCAACAGTCTTGTCGTAACACTCGTGGAAAACCAATCACTGCTGGTCACTAGGGACTTAGGCGAGATCCTTCCAGATACTAGGGAACACTTGATGACATGCAAAATTAATCACAATTAATGACATGCACATAAGCCAACACTTGTAGTGTGTTACATATATAATCACCGTCCTGGCTGAATGACTTATTACTCAAAAGTATAACTATCACCATTAAAACTTGATACTACATCTACCCATTGCCAGTGAGAAAGAACAAATAATCCAAATAGAGTATCAGTACTTTGAATATACTTGGCCTGCACACATACATACTCAGTCAACATAGATCTAAATGGTTGGCTCCTTGAGGCAGCTCACAAGTGGGCTAGTGTATTGCTCTCGTTCACTTGCATTCACCGCATGTGATATCTTAGCAAGATCACTCACACACTGGCAATGGACAACTGGCTGGTCGGCGCAAGTGTGGCATGAGAGATGAACTTGAGAACAGTGACGTGTGTTTACAGGACAATGGATCACAACTTGTGCTTGTGAAATGTGTGAGCTTCACTATTCACTCGGTTGATCAAACGGGTTCACACAACAGGATAAGTGGCAGACAGTAATGGCTAGAATTTATCTATCTTTCCTCAGATTTAAGCTTTCCACACTTCAATTTTCTATCATTGCATGTTTCATATATTGTACTATAACCTTGTTACTTTACTGTCAGTTTCTGTAATGATTACTTAGATAAATCACAGTGATAGGTACTCTATATAGTCTGTTACACCTGGCATTACCCATTGTGATTTTCGTTTCTTGTCAGTTACTCTTCAATAGTTTACAGTATTTGCATTGTGGGATTGCTTGCCACTCAAAGACAATTTACACACAGTTGAGATAACTTGATGTTACCTTAGGACTTGTGGTGGTCTACCTATTTGGTTGGTAGCCATTTCCAATGCATCCTAATGTAACAGTAGTACTGGTGAGAATGAGGATCTAACATATGGTAATGCTTCTCAAGCTTTCCAGGGTTTTGTCTCCTGATTCTACCAATCTGGTTGATGGGGCTCTGGGAGTTCTTCTACTCTCCAAGGCCAGGCTTGACTTGTGAGAGGTTGGTCCATCAGGCTGTTGTTTGGAGCAGCCTGCAGGCCCACATACCCACCACAGCCCAGTTGGTCCGGAACGTCTTTTAGAAAACAGTCTAGTTTTCTCTTGAAGATGTCCATGGTTGTTCCAGCAACCATGGACATCAGCCGCGGACCTCTGATGTTTATACAGTGTTCTCTGATTGTGCCTATGGCACCTCTGTTCTTCACTGGTTCTATTCTGCATTTTCTTCCATATCGTTCACTCCAGTACGTTGTTATTTTACTGTGTAGATTAGGGACCTGGCCTTCCAGTGACTATTACAACTTCCAATCAGAGAATCACTTACTACAATATGGGCATGCTAGCTTTCTCATAGGTTGCCATAAGTCACACGGGCCTGGTGACATCACAGCTGCATCATGGCCTGCTGAGGCAGCCGACCTGACCTGAGGTAATCCCTTGGGATCAACTGGAGCAACAGAGTATACTGCACTACATTCAACACTGACCAAGACACTAACAAATATAGTACAGAGTAATACAGCTTCCTTCTTCCTTCAGCTCCCTAACTCCTTACTAAGTGGACACACAGTGACTTCTGCAACATCAAAATGCAGCTCAAGGCATGGGCTCTCAGAGTCCAAATGCAATCCAGTTTTAAGGAAGATAGCTACTGTGCACATTGCTGTGATTCTCTGAGCAAACAGGGTTCTATTTCAGACTCCTGTTGCCCATGCAACAGCCCTACATTATGTAACTAGAAGTCAGTGGCGGGAGCTGAGACCCCTCTCTCTCAAAATTTAACTGTTACCCCTCCCCCCCACCAGGGGTTAAAGGCTAATGAAAAATGAATTAATGCTGACATTTAGATCTACCTCATAAGGTCATATTTTCCTCTATGGACACCAAATGGTTATATCTACCAAGTTTAAACTTCTGCTCTGAAACCCAGAAATCTTGATAACATTGCAGGACATGATGTTTTGAGGCAATTTTTTAAATTTAACTGCTTCACTCAGGGATTTTTTGTGAAGCAAATATTCCTGCTTATTATGAAGGGTTAAATTTAATATAAATTTCATATCTTGCACAACCATAATTTATATTGCACTTTTCCTGCTAGAGTTGGGGATCCTCATATGTTTAACTTGGTATCTTCCTAAAGTCTTTTAGTTGTTGAACATTGCTAGGGGTTTTGTCTTGAACATGAATTTTCATATGGTTAACTAGATCGATTTTGCCCAAGAAACCTTTTAGACACTTTGAACACTGATATGATGGTTTCTTGTTATGAACGCTCATGTGCTTTACTAAATGACTTTTTTTCAAAAAACATTTAGAACACTTTGAACACTTAAATGGTTTTTCACCAGCATGAAGTTTTATATGATTTATTAAGGTTGATTTGCTTGAGAACTCCTTCAGACATTCTGAACACCCAAATGGTTTTTCTTTTGTATGAAGAGCCATGTGTTGAACTAAACCACTATGTTGTGTAAAGGCTTTCCAACATTCTGAGCACTGATATGGTTTCTCTCCTGTATGTAATCTTGTGTGTTTTACTAGAGCAGATTTAACTGCAAATTCTTTGGAACAAACTGAGCATTGAAATGGTTTTTCTCCAGTGTGAACTCTCATGTGTGTCAGTAGATGTCCTGTTTGTTTAAAACCTTTTTCACACACTGAACACTGATATGGTTTTTCCCCAGTATGAACTCTCCTATGTTTTGAAAATGAAGATCTGTCTAAGAAGTCTTTCAAACACAGTGAGCATTGATACGGCTTTTCTCCTGTATGGATACGTTTATGAATCGTTAGATTATATCTTTGTGTAAAATATTTTAGACACACTGGACACTGATAAGGTTTCTCTCCTGTATGAACTTTCTTATGAATTGATAGATTATATTTTTGTGTAAAATATTTTAGACACACTAGACACTGATAAGGTTTCTCACCTGTATGAACTCTCTGATGTACCGTTAGACGATAATTATCTTTAAATTTTTTTAGACACACTGAACATTGAAGTTTCTTTTCTCTGGGGGCATTCATATTTGCTTGTAAAGTGGAATTAATCAAAACTTTTATACACAAAGACCACTGATGATCTTCACTTATACACTATGAGCTTTGTGTGTATTACTATAGTGCTCATGACAGTTTATGATATTGTAGAACACACAATATTTTTGAGTCTTATGAACAAAATATTAAAAAAAAAACTTATCATTTACATACTGTGGATTTTCTCTCAACTGAAAATACTACAAAAATTGGTATATTTTTCTTAAATAAAAATAGTCCTGGTAGATAAATTCTAATAATGAATACCTATATTATATAAAGCTTTGGCAGAGCCTTCTGATATGATTTTATTCTGCTTGAATTTTAATGTTACTATAACAAATGTACAGCTATTTTTAAATAAAACCCTGAGTCTCGGCTTTTATGTTACGTGAAATCTCACCTGTTCAAATCTGAGTAAATTCTGTTGTATAAAATGCTGCTACTCCCTGTCCAGTGCTTGTGATGAATCGGTAAACTTGGATAACAATGGGTGATAATCCTTTATGTATAAAATATGGATATGTGGAGCAAACATTATACTGGTTGTTAAGGAAGCATCAGGATGCCAAGTTCAACTTTAAGATGCTAACAGACATAATTAGTACTATTTATTACACCTTAGTACATACACATTTTCACCTCTATGAAAACTTGGCACTGATGTTATTTGTACTTTGTATTTCTTCCAATCACTTGAGCTTGGAGACACTTGAGAGTTAGCACTATATTGTCCTACCACCAGTGTATGGATGACCTGCAAAAAGAAAAGTTCACAAATAACCAGAACTTGTGAAACTTTTACTGCTCAGACATTCAGATTAAATAGTGACCTGGGAAGATTCATTTACCAATGAATACTGAAAACAACATTACAAGTGCATTAATAAATAATTTATTTGAAGTGAAGCATGTTAAAACATAGCTTTAACCAATACTCTTATAATTACAGAGCCTTTTTAGAAAATAAATGTTTTATTTGCAAAAAGCAAATCAGGAAAATAACATGTTGCAATATAATAGTCTTTGCATTTGAGGAGATATAAACCAACTTCTTATATTATAATTCACTATACAAAATAATAATGCACAGTGATATTATTCTAAATTATCAAATACAGAAGCTAAATCATTTATGTTTTAATGGCAAGATATCAGAACAGGGTGGTGTAAGGTGCAAAGGCTGGTAAAATGAGCAAAGTAAAAGTAATGAACATAGGTTGTTGTAAGTTGCGTTTGTATTAGTTTTTATATTTGGGTAGTGCTCGGAGGGAAAATAGAAGGAAGGAGAAGAGGAAAGAGTAGAAGGAATAAAGGAGCTTAAGAGGTTTCAACATGTCTACACAAAATACTGTAAGTAAGTTTGCAGAAAGAGGTTGGCAGACAATTGCAATATTAGATAATATGGTAGTCAACACTTCCAATAACAACAGTCAACACTAACTGAACACAAAAGAAGCAGTAAGACCAGACTTGTTATCACCATGTCTACTGAAAGAGGCTGCGGGGCACTTTGCCACCCACTATCTAAAACTTTCAATAAAACACAAAACCAGAGATCTAGAAATATGGAAAATTGTATGTAATCCTAATATTTATATAAAAAAAAAAAAACTAAATTACAGACCATTGTTACTAACATGAATTCCTGCTAAAGTGCTGAAGATGAACTTGTAACAGGAGGATAACTTGATTTAGGAGAAAATCAAGGCTGCAAAAATGTAACAGAAAAAATGAGAGAGGGAAGATAAGGGGCCAATCGTCTCTGGTTTCCAAATGGCTTCGGGTGTAAAAGCATGATGTATTCATGACATTATGGGCCTAGCTGATAAGTGCAAGCCTATTCTATCTAATTTGGGTAAATATTAGTGCCTGCGTTCCATTCGTTCATTCATAGACTGGACTGTTTGTTCCTTAGGAACGATTGTAGTGGTTGAAGCAAGCCTGCCAAACCATCCTGAACCCATTGTCTGTCTGACGTACATGATCCAGCTGGTATTACCAACTAACAGTAATCACTATGTAACATTTGCCAATGTCAAGTTACCCCACTGTGCATATATTGGAGATAATCAAGCTATCACCACAGAATTGCATGTGAAATTACATGAATTAGCCGTTTGTGTGAGTGACAAACTAGTACACATGACCACCTCAGAAGCAACAGATTGTCAAAGTGAACGTCTTTCATCAGTCATCAGTGTACTAAATCAACAGGAAAGGATACAGTGAACTATACATTGTATAAGGAGTGTTGTTGCCCACTAGGGCTGAAAGAACAGAACCCATGCCTCAAGAGAAGAGCATGAAACACCCCAACCCTGCAATTCAAGACAAAAACTATAAAAACACCTTAAGAAGATAACCCAAACAGAAGGAGAAGCAGTGAACCAAGTGAGAAATATAATACCAGCACTCAATCGAGAAACCAAGACCTCTCGGGAGCAGCATGAGGCAGCCAGAGGCGACAGAAAGCCCGAGACAACTTGCAAAACAGCACCAAGGATGCATTAACACCAAATGCAAGTGGGAGTGTCTCTACCAACGCCAAGCAATAAAGTGACAGTATTAGGCAGATGCCGATCAACAACCAGGATAGTTCCACTGGAACAGACACCAGGCCAGATGAGTTCGGTGTCTGTTCCAGTGATGATACCCTGTCTGATCATCAAGGCTGAGCCTGCCACCAAGGAGCCAGAATGGTCATCTTGTCCAAGTACGTCTCCAAACTTCACAACGCCTAGTGCAACAACTGAACTGGGTAGAAGAGATAGAAGAACTCCACCTCACCCAGTCTAGCCTAAAGGCATTTACCCAAGTCTTGTAATCGAGGAATGGAGGTACAGGTATATATTTTTTTTCTAACGAATTTTACACATTTTCAATAATACTCTACCACCACAATTTTCAAATGCAATCATTTCCATGACACTCATCTATCACATTAGCATATAATAAAGGATTTTTATAAAAAGGATTATCCAAAATATGTTTAGTTTTACTAATACAAGTAGTCAAAATTCCGCAAAAATATATGCCAAATATTTCATGTAAGGCAAGGCACGCTAAGTTTACCATTGTATCTCGCCTAGTGACGACCGCATTTGAATTCTTTGTTAAGAATTTCATTGTTTTTCTGCATTTTTGTGAACTTTTGTGAACTTATTATATTCAGAACTTTTCTGAATATAAAAGTTCTTATTAAATATCATGCCATGGGTCCCAAGAAAGTCAGTGGTAAAGTTCAACCTAAGAAAATAATTGTGTAGAGGCAGCAGAGGATGTCCCATCCTCATCAAGGAAATGTTGCAGTATAGGAAGAACTGAAAAGTTTTGTTAAAAAAAACTCGCCCAGATTGTATGTTAAATTTTTAGTGAGCCACAACCAGGTCCTAGTGGTATGCCTGCAAACTGTAGAAGAGAGTACCTAGGAAATGTCATCAATGCCTGATGTTACAGTATAATGGAAGGGCTTCCCTTCCACACACTAACACCTCTCCTCCTCCTCACCATCTTCCATATGCCAACAAGAATCCTCAATAAAGGTAAGATATACTGTAGTAAAAAATATGAGTAGTATTCTGTATAAAATTCATTTTTAAGTTACTATTTTTGGGAGTGCGGAACGGATTAATTCCATTTACATTATTTCTTACGGGAAAATTTGTTTTGATTTACAAATTTTTGGTGTATGAACTGTCTCTTGGAATGAATTAAATTCATAAACCAATTTGCCACTTTATTTACATAATTTGTATAAAAACCAGATACCTAAAATCATCATGTCATGAAAATTGCATACCCGAGGGATCAGTATGATGATAATTGCACTTTATACCCTTGCACTATGAATAACATCCTGAGATGTTTGACCTATGGTGTACATACATCACATCCAGAGTCGTTATTTGGAACCACAAATATTTGTGGATTTCTACTTCAATGGGTTGCAATTGCATGCATCACCGTCACCAGGAAGTGGGTGCACTGTACTGATAAGGGTCCAACCATGGACATATTTTTTATTGATTAGCTTCACCTGTCTCCTGAATTACGTTGGTTGTGAAAATCCTTTAAAGCCAATGAAATGTAATATAGAGGTCCTTTCCAGGGTTCTACATCAAATATTTATTTATGCATGCAAAAACCTAAATAGTATGGGACTTGGGGCAAGTGTCTTGTGCAAGTATCTCAACTACATTAGCATGGCAGTGCTCAAAAAGGATCGATGCAAACTCCAAATGTATGAAAATATAATTTTATTTAAAGAACTTATGTACTAATACAGAGAGCAACTTTACTAATTGGTGCTCTCAAAAGCTAATAATGCATCAGAGAACCCCCTTAAATGTCTCGCCAACAGATCATGCAGCAACACGCGTCAACAATCTTGTTATAACACTTGTGGAAAACTAATCGCTGCTGGTCACTAGGGACTTAGGCGAGTTCCCTTCCAGATACTCGGGAATACTTTATGACATGAAAAATTAATTACAATGACATGCACATAAGCCAATATATGTAGTGTGTGTGACATATAATTACCTTACTCGCTGAATGACTTATTACTCAGAAGTATAACTATCACCATTAAAACTTGATACTACCTCCACCCATTGCAGATGAGCAAACAAATAATCAAAATAGAGGATCAGTACTTTGAATATACTTGTTGGCCTACACACACACATTCACTCAGCCAACATAGATCTAAATGGTTGGCTCCTTGAGGCAGCTCACAAGTGGGCTAGTGTATTGGTCTTATTGACTTGTATTGACCGCATGTGGTATCTAAGCAAGATCACTCACACACTGGCAATGGACAACTGGCTGGTCGGCGCAAGTGTGGCATGAGAAATGAACTTAAACGCAGTGACACGTGTTCACAGGACAAAGGATCACAACTTGTGCTTGCGAAAGGTATGGACTTCACTATTCATACATGCAGTTGATCAAACGGGTTCAAACAACATGATATGTTGCACAGTAATGGCTAGAATTTATTTATCTTTCTTCAAACAGATTTAAGCTTTCCACGCTTCAATCTTCTACCATTGCACGGTTCATATACCTGTACAGTACTATAACCTTGTTACTTTACTGGCCAGTTTCTTAACTGATCACTTAAATAAATCATCGTGATAGGTACTCTACATAGTCTGTTACACCTGGCTTTACCTATTGTGATTTTCGTTTCTTCTCAGTTACTCTTGAATAGTTTACAATATTTGCATTGCAGGATTGCTTGCCACTTGCAGACAATTTTACAAACAGTTGAGATAACTTTGTTACCTTATGATTTGTGGTGGTCTAGCTATTTGGTTGGTAGCTATTCCCAACACATAATGTAACGAAGTACTGGTGGGAATGAGGAGCTAGCATAAGGTAATGCTTCTT